CTTCCGAAGTAGAGTCGTCGTCATACACTCGGAAGCTTTCGGTGAAAAGCCATAATGTTTTTAATTATCGAAAGTTTTATTGGCAGTGTTCAGGGTCGCGGGACACCTATGAAGCTTGGGTTTGGGTCGCCGAAAAAAAGAAGTAAAGATCCCTGATGTAACCTAAGAGTTGCATGTAGCCTCTTAGCTACCTTATTAACAAAGTAAGCTACTTGGGCTGGGCCGGGGTAGATGTTTGCACGTCTGCACCTAATCTTCTGGCTGAGTAAGATATGTACACAGATATGTACACAAAGTAGGCCGGCCGAGCCTAGATCGCCCTCTTAGCGGATGAATTGGATTTCCATTTGTATAAATAAAAGAATTTCGTTCTGTTTTGCCAGATTCAACAGACCGTTGAGATGTATGCCAATGAGATGTATGCTTAACGAGTATTTACCTTCAAAATCAGTCCTCTCCACCACTCATCGTTATCGTTCAGTCGCACTCAATTAATGATAGGTCAAGTTATTCCAATTAATGCACCTAAGCATCCTTACACTTACCTTCAATTTCGTTACCAACCCTTAACATTTTCCTTATCTTCACTTGTCCTGCTCGATTGGCCACTATCACTAAGGATGCATGTCCACTTATTGGACTGTTTCCACAATCAGCAGCAAACACGGCATGCAGGATACAAGAATTTTTTTCTAAGTAAAGCGGGCCAATATCAGAGAAATAATTATAAAATTGCCGTATTGGCTAATATTTCCATTGCCCGATTGGCTCTGAAACATTTCTTTTATTAGTAAAAATGTTAGATGGTGTTTTATTCACTTGATTATCTCCTCCTAGAGTAATAATTTGATTGTGACTATTGTTATCCGATGAAAGTTGTACATTGTACTGGATAAATTCAATATTAAGTGAATATGCAGGGACCGCGGAGCAGGGTGGTTCGCTGGGTTTTAGCCCCACCAATAATTTTTCCGCGTAGTTAGTTTCTTAATTTCGGATATATTTTAGTTGTATTCAGTACAAATGTTTTGACATTACTACAAATACTACTTAGACACAAAAAGGTATCTACTATTTTCCGATAACCGTTAAATTTAGAAGCATTTGCGGCCATTTCAGAGGCCTATATTTCAAAATTTTCCCGGCGGCATGCCCCCGGACACCTCAAGCGGTCTCGTGCCTTCGGCGCTCGTGTAAGCCCCACCAATCCCCCAAACGCTACGCGGTCTCTGATATGCACATTAATTATGTGGACAATGGTGTCTTACTGGAAACGTAACTAAAACACTCGTAGAACTCATAAGCCACTATATCCGGAACCAGATGCGCTATTAGTCCGTATTTCACGCTTGCAAGCGACGTACAAAGTTAGAAAATTCCCGCCATTTTCATTTTTGTTTTTTTGAAAATAAAAATGGTCTTGAGATAAGTAAAATATATTTATTCTAGTTTTATGTTTCCACTACCTAGCTAATTTTAAAAATATCGCTTTTATTGACGGTTGCGAGAAGATATGGATTAATTATGTTCTCAGCTCGTGTCAAAACTCGACCATAAATTCCATATCCTCTCGCAACCGTCTAATATCTTCTATAGGCCGCAAAGTTGTCTTGAATTTTAATATCTTGTACATGAGCTACTCAAATAGAAAGGCGAATAGTTTAAATTTCAGAAAAGCGTTTCTTATTATGCATTTCGATTTCTTATTCAAAATTGTGCCCTCTTACCATACGCAAAAGTTTAAATTAATAAGATAGGTTTATATTCCTATATACAGTGGTAGTTAACTAATAGATCATCTTCTATTTAAAACTGCAGGAAAACATCTTGAGGAATACTATATTAAAGCGGTTGATACACTGATCGACTTGTATAATTCACTTGAGCGGAAAAAGACGAAAGTTAAAGAGTGCATCCAAATATTCTACAAGAAAGCAAGAGTGCTTCTATACATTGACAACCTACAAATCCGGAGCAAGCTGCTTGAAAACATTTTCAAGGATCTGGAAACGTCTTCGCAAGAAATGACTATAGAAAGGCTTAAGCAAAGCAAAACGTTACACCTCGATAGAATTGAAACGCATCATAATGGTGGTTTTGCATTCATTTTTAAGGCAGATTACAAAGGCTGTTCTGTAGCAGTAAAGTGCTCTAAGCTCTCTAAAAATTGTCTACAAAATAAATATGCAAATCCTAGTCACTTTAGTTACGAGCTTGAATTTTTAAGCAATTTAAGAAAGAAAAACCATCCAAATATCATTCAACTAATACAAGATGACCGTCAACTCCAATGCCTGGTTCTAGAGTACATCTCGTTTGGATCTCTGCGGACGTATTTGTTCAAACGTCGATCAGACACTAGTCGTCCTACCTTTGATGAGCTTCTCTTGATTGCGGTGAAAATTGCTGGGGCTTTAGAGTTGTTGGAAGAGGAAGGTATCATCCATCTTGCAATGCAGGCAAGAAATGTGCTTGTTAACCGCAATGGCGACGTTAAGTTAACAGGTTTTCAGTTTTGTCGAACACTGAGCCAGATAAAAGAAAAGGGAATAAGAAACGTTGTCTTCGAACGCCATTTTAAGTGGATGGATCGAAATGCTCTTGGATTCGTATCCGTCGTCCCAAGAACGGTTTCATGGAGTTTTGGAGTTTTTCTTTACGAGATTTTAACCCTTGGATGCGAACCGTATAGCCATTCAAAGAAACACCTAGATTCTGATGAATTGGAACGAAAAGCTCTGACGTCTTCGCAAGCAAAAATCTTCGTAAGTAATTTAATATATTGAGTGTGTAATATATCAGAGTCTACCCACACCGGACAACCGGAAAAATTGCTTGACCGCCATGGAATCAATAAAAATATATAAAGCTGTATACACTGTATAATGGATCTACCTAAAAATATGCATGGATCCACCTAAAAACACAAAAAGAACTTGATCAAAGTTCTGAGCGTATTTTTCAGGTAATTATATTATCTACAGATTTCCCATAAATGATGATATTTCAGAAACTCGATATCATTCCTTCAATATTTGTATGTATTTATAAACTAAAGTCCGGTGGTTGTGATGCCAAACTCAGGATTAATTTTGCTTGTGCTACACTCTAACGCCAGTAGCTAATACTCTCGCGCACGCTTAAATTACGCTTCACTGATTGCCTAGTTCCCTGTTATATAATATATTCCTGCCAGTCCCCTTTTTTTACAACAAGATTTCTCGTATAGTCTTGACAGTACTATGGTTTTCATAGTTGTCTACAGTATGTCTTTTTATGTGATTTCCTCCAATGTCAGTAGCCACTGTCGAGAAGTATAGTTACCTAGAATTTCTGCTACTTCAATTTTGATCTGCTCGAAATTTTCCATCATCTGTTCTTAAGCCTAAATTGGAAAAATTCAAGCTACAAAAGACAAATGGAACAAATATATCGAAACTGAACTGAGTAGAGTTCAAATTGGTCTGAAATCAAACGCGTAATTACAAAATTGTACCACCGCGCAACGGAAGTCCACTTTGGATAGCAAGTTCGAGTACAAACCAAAATTACAATATCTGAAACCTAACATTGTATATGCGACCTAGAAGTAAAAGAAAACTGGAAATAATACAGTAGTTCATATAAATTTTCTCACACATCATTAGATATTCATAGCATTTCGGCCAATGGCATGGTGTACTTTACATCACGTGTATCTATATCTGGATACCCAGGCTAGACCAGGACTTTAATTACTTCAAGTGGGAAGGACTTTGAACAATAGGGAAATTGAGGGGTAAACAAAAGATTATGCAAATATATTTAATTGCTATGTTTAGAATTATTTTTAAATACAGTAAGCTGTATTTAGAATTTTTTTCTAATTATACACTTTACATTTATCACTTTTTCTATCATAATAAACAGCGCAATAATACAGCAACTACAGCAATAATACTGCTGCCAGTAATGTTTGGCCGTCTAATATATATTCACTTCGGCTCTTCCATTCTCCACCAGATAATGCCTTATCGCACACACAATCTGATATATCGTTTCTCGGATCTCCTACCTTGTAACCAGGTTTATTAAGAAAATATCATCGGGCAAATGACTAAATCTGATCATCGTGGATTATGATAAAATAGTAGTTGCCTATAGGTTGTTGACCACTTTTGAATGAAGGAAAGAAAAGAATTGAAGGTGGCCAAATATAAAAAATCCGAATTATCGAATTTCACAATTTATACGACGGGAAATTAAGAAAAAATCCCTTCTTGAAACATTGTAAAAATGTCAATAAAAACAATTTACGCTAAACAGCTATGGAGATAAATTTTCTATAAAATTAGAAACATCGTTCGTAGTATTAACCATTAATGCATATTTTACCGCATCCAAACCTTACAAATTGTTCATATAAGATCTATAATAATTTTTAGTATTTTTGCACAGGTGAATATAACAAATCCTACAAGTTGATTGGTCAAATTTGACGTATTAAGCTGTTATATTCATGTCCAACAGCCGCCGATTTGTGGAAGTTACTGATAAAGAAATATGCGAAATTAAAACAAATTCAGTTGCAAAAAAAAAAACACAAAAGGCTTGTGAAAAATACTAAAACAATTATTCGCCTCAGGCTCGGTGATTATCGGGGAATATTCACCTCGACTTGATCTCGGTGAATATTCTCCGATAATCACCTCGCCTTCGGCGAATAATTGTTAAATGTTCGCACTTACTTTGGTAATCTTGTTATGTTTCGTGGCTTGTTGCTGCGCTAGTCATTCAGGACAATATTGCACCGTGTTGTGTCATAAACAAAGAACAAGTTAATTAAATTAATCCTCTTTAATTCCAGTTTACAAAAATGTTTAAGATTTCAAATTAAATTTAATAAAATGGAAACCGAACTCCGTGTTTTGGTTTGTAATCGAACTTGCGATCCAAAGTGGACTTCCGCTTCGTGGTTGTGCAGTTTTGTAATCACGCGTTTTATTTCAGACCAATTTGAACTCCACTCAATTCAGTACCGATGTGTTTGTTCCGTTTGCCTTTGGCAGATCGGCTTTTTCTAATTTTTTATACAAAGAAATATGTTAGAATATGCGTTCGTTAACTTTCAGTAACATTGAGTAATGTCAAAACAACAAAATATGTTGTTTTATTTTTTTTCTTGCGGTCCGAAGTCATATTTTACGCTTTTCTGCAATCTGATTGGCTACGTGAGCGGTCCGTATGAGCCCGTACGGACCGCGCGAGATTTAAAGCCGTAGAGCCAATGTTTTTATTTTTCAAAATTTAAAGACGAGTTTAAAGGCTACTTTTTAAAACATTAAAATGTCTGCAGACGATGAAAAACACAGTGAAAACGAATTTTACTATCCCACAAAAGATATTTCTCTTCCCGATAGCATTGATAGAAACGACGTTTTATTTGGCAGCTTCATTCGCGTGCGGGAGGAGTGATTGGGGAAATCCAGAGGAGGAATTAAAAAAAAAAAATAAAAATATTATTTACCGGTATGGTCGGTCCGTATAGAGAAATATTTCTCTCGGTCTTAAAAACGTCCCTCGGCCTTCGGCCTCGGGCCGTTTTTAAGACCTCGAGAAATATTTCTCTATACGGACCTCCAATCCGGTAAATAACATATATATATATACATATATCTATCACCGTATTTCAAAATATTAGTCATCAAAAAACTTTCTTGTTCTCCCAACTCCCTTGGTATTTTCAGATAATGTGGAATCACAACAAATTTCAACTTTAACGATATTATAACATTCTTTCGTAACTGTTAATTGTTTTAGATTAGTCGAGGTGGTAAATTACCAAAAGAATCCTGCATTCCAGATTCTTGCTTCCAGATCATCTCAACGAAATGCTGCGAAGAAGAATATTCGGACAGGCCTACATTTGCAGAGCTAGAATGTTTGCTCCTGAAAGAAAAAGGTAAGGGAATTAGGGTTGGGCGATATTTCGATATTTTGATTTATCGCGATATTTTCATTCGCGATTATTGTATCGAAGGTAGAAACGTGAGCGACGATATATCGAAATTACCGTCATGCTCGTTGACTATAACGTGATATTGCTTCGCAAGTGTACATAGCTTTATAAAAACCTAAAAAATTCCTTCAATTCCTAGAAAATATAGTTTTTAAAAGAATTAAAACTATTTTCTGAATTAAATACAAATTTAATACGATACGGTCACCAATATAACATTCTCACTTTTATATATCATAATTATCCCTACTTATCACTGGTAATCTAGTATTCCTTTGCAAACTAGTAATTAATCCTTGGTAATCTAGTAATATAATCTTGGTAAGTTAGTAATCCTTGGTAAACTATTAATCATTGGTAAGTTAGTAAGCCTTGGTAATCTAGAACTTTTTGGTAAACTAGTAATTAATCCTTTGGTAATCTAGTAATCTTTGGTAATCTAGTAATCATTGGTAAGTTAGTAAGCCTTGGTAAGTTAGTAAGCCTTGGTAAGTTAGTAAGCCGCTGAACAATGAAATTGCAGGCTTTGCTTGCGCTGTGTGCCCACAGCATTTGTGCCTGCGGATAGACAGTAGACACTGCATACTAGACACTTAGATAGTTCTAGTGCTGTGCAAACTCCGGTTTTTCATCTCCGGCTCCGGCCGAATTACAGCTCTGAGCTCCGGCTCCGGGCACATCATAAAATATTAAATAAATGTTTTACGATCAGAGAACATTTATTAATATTATTACGAATAACCCTTTTCACGCTTCCTAATTATCAGATAACATAACTCAGGAAACAAAACAGTAAAAACACTTAACCACGCAGAAAATATCTATATGGAAACCAGCCTCGAAAAATCTTTGACACGAGGCATGACGCGAGGCATGACGCTAACACTCTCAGACTCCATAGCGCAATTGTTCGCACGCAAACAAAGTACTCTGTCATTTTCAAAAGGTTGATATTTATTTGTTTTGTACTTTTTCGTTATCTACAATGCATGAATATACAGATTACAGTATGTAGCGCTAAGTCAGATAGCTTCATGAAAGCATGACGTTTGTAAGTTGCGATCGTATTACAGCTTTTCAACGCTGTTCCTGTGGGCTGTGGCAGTTTGAGTCTATGATGAATTCATTAACAGCAATTGGCAGTTTGCAGTAACTAACAATCGTTTGACATTTGTCTCATTTCATATTGTTTTCTTGTCATTTTGCCGGAGCTGGGAAAACGTAACTCCGGCTCCGGGCTCCGGCATACAAAATTCTGCTCCGGCATTGGAAAAACCGCCGGAGCTCCGGCAGAACTCCGGCTCCGGCAACTCCGGCGCACAGCACTAGATAGTTCTGGTTTATGAACAGTAAATATTAGACTAGCCTTCATTTTACTTTAATTTGTTGTTTCATTTGTTGTTTTTAATAAGATTTTATAATATAGCATTTGTAAATTCTGAACGCTGATTGGCTAAGAGCCGTGTTGATATAACTCAATGTCAACACGGAAACGTCGGAAAATTTCTTTCTTTATGTTTCTTTGTGCTATATTATAAAACAAATATAAAACATACTTTCCGTATTGATATATAGTTATATCAACACTCGTGGAAATTGGAAACCTCGAAATTGTGTGAAACACTCCGCCCTTCGGGCGTCGTGTTTCCACACAATTTCTCGTTTTCCCAATTTCCACTCGTGTTGATATAACTGTATATCAACACGGAAAATGTTTTATATTTGTTAAATATAAGCTTACTGTGATTTAATAATAATTAAAATTGAAAAATGTGGTTATTATTTTTATTGCGATATTATCGAATATCGTGATAATTTCCTGGACAATAATTGTGAGATGATTTTTTAATATATTATTTCCTTCAGCACCTTATTTTACAAGTTGTTTATCTTGAGTTTGAAGCAGTGAACTATAAGAATCCAATAATGGGACTCTTATACCCAATTCCAGCCTGAGCCTATCCTGCCGTACATAATCAAGATCATAAAAATTGACTTACAAATGATACTATTACCACTGATACTTTTTATACAATGATTTATATTATGCACTCAATTAGCCTTTCTCACGCAGCCATTTTTGGGTGGCATTTCAGCCGAAGTCTGCGAGATAAGTCCACATAACAGCGACTTTTTATAATTTTTCGGACGAATTAATGGTAAATTTGATTTGTAAATGGTTAGTTTATTTTGAAAAATTGCTTTTCACATTGTTTTAATTGTCTGCATTGGTCAACGAGAACTAGATACCACCCAAAATTGGCGGATATTCGTCATCTTGAGAAAGGCTAATTAAATGCCATTGCATGACCTGCAATCACGAGTTTTCAACAGGGTCAACTGCATGCCTGATATTTTACGATGTAGAACAAGAACATATTGCAGAGCAGTTCTCGTTCATTTTTTCGTGGCTTACTAAATCTTTCTTGATGTTTTGGAAATTTCAACCGCACGTAGCTACAACAAACGATTTGGCAAAATAATGAAAAGAATTTGGATTTTGGATTATTTTCTACCAGTTTTGCGGCTTAAAATTATGAAAGCGGCATGGGAAAACGTATCTTTTATTTTAAGATGGCCAGCAGAATTTTGACACCATCTGAAACAAAAATACAATTAATTAAAGCAGCTAACATTTATATACAGGGTGTATCAGAAAAAGTAATCCATCTGAAGAGTACTCTTGTGCGCTCACTATTGAGTGCACTGATTTAGTTTTTTATATTAAATATAATGAGGACTAGAAAGCGAGTCGCGTGTGTTTATGGTGTAATAATGCACGCGGGGAATGTCGGAAGAATAGGAGAACGAGATGGTGCATGCATGGGGCATTTAAATGAATTCATGAATTTTAGTTCCAAATGCATGGGAGTTACTTTCAATAGTTTCTCACCAAATTCCAAAAGGTGGAAAAATGCGATTTGCAATAGGCCCTAGCAATTTTTATTCGATTCATATTTCACCATTTTCTCGTATAATGATACAAAAATGTATAATTGGACAGCTAAAGTCCCGAAATGTTTTGCAGTATGTAACCCACACTAACATGCTGAAGTTTAATTACTCTTTTTTATACACCCTGTATGTCTTTCGAAAATTTCTGTTTTTATTAGTTAAAAACAAGATATGAATGATGAATGGACCTTATATATAGCTATTCCTAATGAACAAAATTTTGATCTAGACAAATCTAGACAAATATTTCACCACAGCTTGAAAGAGCATCACAAAATTAGTAGTATTCCGAAGTTTAGTTGCGAAATGTTGTAAAATGCGGATAATATACATAGCCCTGCGAAGTTTGACGTTTAATGGACAACTGGATGGCGAACTTTATAATTTTCTTTCCATCTGCAACTCTTTCTGTGAAATTGCCTGCGATATCTTGCTGCCATAGTGATACAGGTATCAATTTCCCGTGCTTACAAAATGACTGAAAAACGGCAAATTTCGCAAGGCTATATTATCCGCATTTTACAACATTTTGCAACGAAACTTCGGAATATTACTAATTTTGTGATGC